AGTTTGCTAAGACTGCCCTAACAAAATACCACAGACTGGGTGGATCGAATAACCGAAGTTATTCTGTTATGGGGGCTAGAAATCCAAGATCAAGGGTGTCAGCAGGTTTGGTTTCTCCTGAGGCCTCTCTCCTTGGCTTGCGGATGTCTGCCTTCTCACATGTGGTCTTTCTGGTGCATGCATATCCGTAGTGTCTCTTCCTCTTCTTATAAGGACATTGATCATATTGCATTAAGTGACCTCATTTTTATTTAATCACCTTTTTAAAGACCCTGTCTCCAAATACAGTCACATTCTGAGGTCATGAGGGTTAGGGCTTTGACATAGGAATTTGGGGGGGACACAATTCCGTTTATAACACTGCATGTTTTTCCATCCCTGGGGTTTCTTTGTGCATGTACAACAGTTGAACATTTTAGAAAGTCTTGCTTTTCTCTCTATGATGAAAGTTGTTTAAACATTGAAATTATTCTCAAAATTAAGTTAACTTCAAAAGTGTGTATTCTTAAAAGTTCAGTGCCTGGGGTGGGGGTCAGGTGGGAGGCAGGACACAGCACACAACCAATTCTGATGCAGGAAATGACAGGCTGCACCTCAGGAACCGCTGCCCAAGTCCTTTCACTCGTTCTAGGACCCCTTCTAGGCCCAGGGCAGAGCTGCCTTTCTTGTGATGGCTCTGGAGGGAAGAACCAGATACAGCGAGGCCGAGTTGTCAGACTGCCTCATTTCCACCTCCCGCCCCATGCAGCTCTACCCACAGCCATTCTGGACAAAGCCGGGGCCCCTCGGCTCAGCCCCCAGCTCCATCTCTCTGCCAGGCGCTCAGCAGCTTGCATACTGGCAGGGCCCCTCCTCACCTCAAGGAGGACAGATCCTAGACACATCCACTGATGGCTTCTCTTCTAAGCCTCGCTGAAAGCTTGACATGCCATTTCATTGACTCTTCCCAGCAGCTCCTCATTCACCGGTGGGAAAGAGAGGTGCAGAGGAGTTAAATTCTCATCCTAGGTGGCAGAGCAAGGATGCAGAACCAAATCTACGTGTCACAGGTTTCGTGTCCTCACTGTTCATTCCTTAATAAAGCCCAGAGGACTCCTTCTGTGACTGTTTTTAAATGCATAAAATAAAATACGGAGGATCGCAAAGGAAACTAATTATATTGATATATGTACTTCTTTATTAATAGTTTAAGCAACAAGATCTAGCTTTGCCAGAATTTCAAAGGAGGTCTGCAACAATTGTAATATGATGTGAGAATGTCATGAGAAAAACTATTGGTGAAAGAATCTCAGATACTGTGGCTTGTGGCCCACTTCATAATTGAAGAAAATGCTAAATTTCAGTTGGAACTTAGTGAAAATACATATGTACTTTTTTTCATCCGCGTTAAGAAACCCCTGACTTCTATTGCAGGCCCTGCATGTGTGAGCATCCGGGCAGGAATGCCTGGTCTGTTAAGCTCTGGCTCTCTTCAGCAAGGCCCCACTCAGAGTCTGATGTGGGCTCTTAGCTCCATGAGAGGAGGGGAGCCCCTACTCTCCCAAGGCCTTGGGGTTCTACTTCTCTGGGGAAGTGGGAGGATGTGGGAAAGCAAGTTCCCTCTGAAATAGGGCGGATTAGCCATGATTGTATATTGATTAGTGCTCTGCATTGTGAAATAGGGCTGATATTTTGTCCAGACCTCACAACACACTAGGGGTGATGCTGAGAGCTGTTCTGATGGCAAGCACTGGACTCGTTGGTGTGATACCTGGTTCTTTCACTCCACACATATTTAGTGAGAAGTCTGCTTTGTGCCCGGTACTGGGGATGCCTGGTAGAGTCCACTCCCTGTTGGGAAGACAGCCAAGAAGTGGGCCTGGCTGTAGGCCAGCATGGGGACATGAGATTGGCCTTCTTTGAGCAATGTGGTGAGTGAGGTGGCAGGATTAGAGTTTGGAGTTTCCTAACAACTTCCCTTAAGGCCCCAGCCTGGAGAAGCCTGGTCCATGCCCAGCAGCTGTTCGACTAGAAAGGAGTTCAGGACAGCCTCTGTGATCCCCTTTCAGCACAGAGGTGGGAATGGAAATAGTTAATCTGCAGGAGACTGAGAGATGAGTGCAGAGAAAGTGGCAACAGACAACTGTCTGTCCATCCACAGAAGTGGAAGAAAGAGTACTTAGTTCCCCTCACCCTCAGAAAAGTGAGAGCACTCACCCGCAGATCCTCTCCCACTGTTTATCTAAGGTGGCCAGGAGGGGGAGGCCGCCCTTCTTGCAAGACCCTAAAGCCTGTAATAGCTTCTTGCTCCCTGAACCTTGGTTTTGCCTGCTCATTTCTGAAATCTGGCCGTGGCTTCCACCCTGGCCCAGCCACAACCGTTGCTATTTCTTCCACACTGGCCACAAAGTATGGACCACAAAGTTAGCACAGTCCCCCCTGGAGTTGAGGTCAGAGGTTCATTTAAAGTCAGTTAATGCACAGACAGTACTAAGACAGCAACAACAGAGAATCGTAAAACAATAGAGGAAGACTTTCAGGGTGGCAGTCCTCCGAAAGGGTCCACACTCCACAGTTTGGCCCCTAAGCTGTGCAGGACAGAAGGTCATTGTGACCTCTGGAACCAGAGACTGACACATGAGAACCAAACCCGTAAGAGGGTCCTGTCAGTTGACTGGAATCCATTTCTTCCTAGGTATTAGGGTAACAGGATGACAGGAAGTTAGTTGGTGAACATGGAAAAAGGCAAAATAAAGTCCTGAGGGACATTTCATCCACCAAGCACATGAAACTGTTCCATGAAGCCCATCCTTGGGCTGACTGGGCAGACCAGGCTACCCCCTTCCTTGCTAACCCCCGTTCCACCATTGATTTGGCTTCAGCATCTTTCACAATTAGTTGGGCCTGAGTTCAGTTTCAGACCCCTGTCCTTCCTCCTGGTCCTAGGAGACCCTGAGGCCTCTGAACGTGCCTTCTGTAGCTGGAGAACCTCCTCTATAGCAGGCCTTTTAATATAGGCATCCACCTGCCAACCAGCAGTGCCCACTGGACCCATGGGTAACTAATTGGGGTCTTGTAGAACAGACCAACTTAAAGAATCCTTGTCTGAGATAGTCTCTTCTCAAAGAACAGATTCCAACAGGTGAGTTTTAGCATGAATTCACCTGCCTAAAAATGTTTTATTAGATCATTAAAAGGGCCAGGGAGTGAGGCAGTATAATCCAATGGAAGAGCAAGGACCAATGCACACGATTTAAATGAATTGCCATGGGGCTTTGTAGTGAGTGACTTAATTTCTCTGAGTCTCAGTGTCTTCATCTACAGGATGAGCGCAGTCATGCTGGCTTGCAGTGTCCTCACAGGAACCAGAGACAGTGCAAGCCGAGCGCCCTGGGTCCAGCTGATCCTCAGGAAACAACTGCTGTTGCTGCTGTGAAGTTTTTAAAATTTCCTTTTCTAGAGAGCCTCCTTGAATAGAACTGTTCCAGACTGTCTTAATTCTTGTTTTCCAGCAGCTGTGACAAGTCCAGCAATGTTCTGTTAGCCTTTCCATTCCATTACTGTTCACAGAAAGCAAGCCGTCTAGCATTATTTTAATAGAAAGTTTTTACTTCAAGGTATAAGTTTTCCACATTAGCTTTTACTGGTTGAACTAAATTAATATTTTAAGTCCTAAGAAATTGTTTTCTGCAGTTAAGAGACTATGAAGAATAGGAGGAAAATAATTCTGCTGTTTGAAATTTGAGATGCGTGTTCCATGGAAATAATGCTATTCAGGTGGCCAGTGTCCCAGACTGCCCACTGGTTTAAGGCTCAAACTCTACAACAGAGCTCCTCAAATTTTGGTATATATGAATCACCTAGGGATCTTGTTTAGATGCTGAAACTATTTCAGTGGGGTGCCAGCAGGGCCGAGAGTGGATGTATCTCACAGCTCCTAGGTGGTGCCCATGCTGCTGGGCCAGGACCACAGTTTGAGTAGCAAGGACAGGGTGGGGAAAGCTGGCATGACTTAGGGCTGAGAACAGTGGGGAGGGTTGGCCTGGATGAGGGTTTCTGATGAGGCTCAGAGACAGGGCTCTGAGAACTGGGGGAGCAGGAAAGGGCTCGTGGCTGGTGTAACTCCTCAGGCATTTCCTTGCCGTCACCTGGTGTTTGCCAGGCTGTCACCTCCGCTGCTGCTGACCCCACTCTCCCACCAGTTTTCCCTAAACTCTCCCACCCAATGTGGCCATCCCTGTGTTCCTAGAGCAAGCACACTACCAGGAAGGTTCTTCCACTGGAAGTGCATTCCTGGTAAGCAGCCTGGGAGCCATAGGTCTGCCTCCCTGTCCTGCCTCCTCTTTGCCTTCACTCAGGTCCTGTGAAGAAATGCTGGGTAGCACAGACAGGAATGGCTGGTCTGTGAGTTCACCATAGAGAAGGATTCACGACCCCCATCTCACCTGCCTCCTCTTCCCTTCCCATCCTACCTTCTCCCCGGCTCGTGTCCCTGGAGGACTGTGACAACTTCGAGGGCAGGACAAGAAATAGATTTGTCTTTGTATTTCTATGGTGCGTACCCAGACTCAGGCCAATGAAAGCCAGTGGGGCACGGGCAGGAGAGCAGGAAAGGATTGTGTCATGGAAGTGAGGGGGAAGACGAGCCACTCGAAGTAAACTTGCTTTCCTCACACTTGGCGGGGATATCGAAGTTCCGTGAAAAGCTTCCTGCTCATTCAGGCCTTGGCGCAGGGTCCATTTGTCCCGCTGTGGCCTGTGGTGGTGGGTGGTGGATTGAGCAGCACCAGGCACTGGGTTGGCCTCCATCTTTGAAGATACTTGAAAGCAGCTTGGCTAGGAAGCCCCCCACTCCACCCCAGGGTCCTTCCAGAACAGTAACATCTTAGCAATGAGGCAAATGTCATCCCACCTCTTTTAAAGGTCAACCCATGAGAAGCTGCACTTCAGTGGGAAAGGGGAGGAAGGTAGGACAGAGTATTATGGAGAAGTCTGATTCATGACTGTGTTTTGTTTTACAGATTTATCAGCAAGACTGTTGAAAGTGTAATTGTCCAAGATGCCTGTCCCTCCCCCTCCAGCGCCCCCACCGCCACCCACATTTGCGCTGGTGAGTGTCTCCTCCCCATCCATTTTCTATGCAGAAAGCAAGCCAGGTGGAGACAAAACCTGGCTCATGTGTATTTGTTTTAAATGTATTTGCATTGTGGCTTAAATGTGATACGGCAGGCTTTCCCAGTGCCCAGAGATCTAGCGAATCCAAACAACACAGAGAGTTTTGTTTTTTTAAGGTCTCATGCGATGCATAGTACAAGCATAGAATGTGGATTATTATACTAAGTTTCTTCTGCACATCCACCATGGGAAATGTTCTGGCCCGAGACAGGGGTTCACGGGAGCAGCTGAGACCAGCATGCACTGATTCCGTCCAAGTGAACTCGACGTCTAGCCTTTCACTTCTGGGCGGGACAATCCAGAAACCCGGGTGTCTGTCATCTGAAATGCATCTGTTGAGGTGTCCTCCTTTCTCCTTTCTTTTTCTCTGCCTTTCCCCCTCTTTCCTCTCACTCTCTGTTTTTGACAAAGACTGTTTCCCCACCAACCACTTCTCCCACACACTCTCACATCCCCCCTTAAATCTCTCCTTTCACTTAGATGCCTATTTTCCAAAGGAATCTCCTCACTGGACTCATCCTGGTCACTTGCTTGGCCTGTCCTGGGAGGTTGGTGCACAGTCTTCCAGGGAGCCGGCCACCCTGCACATGCTGATGTGGAAAGGCTCCAAGACAGGCTTATTACAAAGACCTCCCCAACATGTGAGGCCCTCACTGCTAGGGAGCCTTGGACTGATGGTTCATTTTTCACATGGGGATACTGAGGCTCAGAGAGGAAAAGTCTCTTGCCCCAGGTTTGCATGCAACACATTTATGTAATTCATCTGAGGTTGGAACCTGATTGGGAAGAAGTGACATATTCAAAGTAGCAACTGCTTGTTAGAGTCCCCAGGGAGATAGGAACAGAAACTGAGAGTAAATTTAGAAGCACTTATAGCAATTTGACAGTAGTGTTATGTCTGTTTATAAGCCTGGATTATGTATGCCTTTTTTTCTTAACTAATTCATTTTTCTAATAATTCATTGCTATTTTTTAAAAACTAGTCCTTTGCCTGCATAAGTTTGAGAAGCTCTAATCTGATTAACAAGCAGGGTTGGTTTCTCTATATTTCCTCAAAAATGTGGGTTTGTATACCATTGCTGGGTAGTGCATGGATTAATTTTTTTTAATTTTAATGCTCATGGTTTATTTTAATGTGTGTTCTAAAAATTATAGCTAGCACATCAAACCCAAGGTTTAATAGTGAGTTAATTCAAAATAAAATGTTCATTGAAAAACAGAACAGTAAATAATATAGTGAATGACTTAAGGAAAAATATCAAATAAAGAATAACGCAGGTGGTATGAGAAGATAACAAAAATCCTGAACGTTGTACCAGAATGATTGAAGTTTGGGAAACCCTTGTTTATCCTATCAACTCATTTCTTTCCATTATTCCATTATTATTTAACTCAAAGCAGGATCCTGGAGAAAAGGGTATAGAGATGAGAAAAGGGAAAGGTGGGCATCACAGGACCCTGCCCTTGTGGAACAACACATTTAAGGGCCGTGGACTGCCACGTGAAAGAAGTTAGCTCCCAAGGAGGTCAGGTGTCAAAATAAATTTTGAGGCAGAACAGGAGTTCACTGAAGGTTGCCGACCCAAAACTGTTAAGAGATCCAGTGTGGACATATCACTTAACCTCTTTAGGCCTCAGGTCTTCTTTGTCCTTAAAATGAAGACAGTAGGTAATTTTAAAAGCTCTCTCCAAGATGTCCAAGAATGTTGTTAGGTTGAATAAACAAGTTTCAGAGCAATAGAGGATAATTCCATTAGCAAAAGTAAACTGTATATGCAAAGAGCTTTTCTGGAAGGGCAGCCAAGAAGCTTTTAACAGTCTGTCTTCAGGAGAGTGTTGGGGGCTGCTGGGGAAGGGGCATCTTAGAGCCCATTCTTACCCTCCTGTCAGATCCTAGGAAGGCTCTGGAGTCACACTGCCGGGGTTTGAATCACAGCTCCTCCTCTTACCAACTGGGTGACTGTGGAAAATGATATAACTTCCCTATGCCTCAGTTTCCTTGTCTGTAAAATGGAAATAATAACTCCAGGGTTGATGAGGACTAAATGAATTAATACACATGAAGTGCTGAAAACAGTGCCTAGCCCAGAGTAAAAGCTATGTACGTGTTAACTGTTATCATAAGCAAATAATACTTTATAATATAATTATTTCAAGGTGCTTCCAACTTAACGTACAGTAATTCTGTTTAGCCTACTTGAGGGTTTTCTGAGGTCTCCCTCTGCCTCTAACTCTGATAATAAAAGGCCGTACACTTCCCCAGCCTTACCTCCTGTGGCCCTGACTGGCACGTCTGAAATCACGTCCCCTTTCTGGGCCAGCCCAGGAGGACTGTCAGGTCTGCTAGAAAGCCCTCTGGGTTGGGGCACCCAGACTCTCTTTGGGACCAGTTAAAACCAAGCCACTTTCCAAGCGTGACAGACACAGACAGGTGCCTACTTCCAAGTCCATATGCTGGACTCTTAGTGTCCCCACTCCCCAAAATAACCCTGAAGGAATGAGATTCCAATTTCAAAGGAAGGATCTTTCCCAGGAATTCTGGAAATATAAGAAAATGCCCCCAGGTTTTAAAGCAGTGCTCTTGTCCTCTCTGCAGTTTCTGAGAGCTAAGCTTTCAAATGGATTAAACATCAGAAACACCTTGGACCAAAGGTCATGAGGGAACTTTTTGGGGTAATGCAGATGTTTTCTGTCTTGATTGTGGAGGTGGCTACACAGCTGTATATGCTTGTCAGACTTATAGAACTGTGCACTAAAAGGATGATTTCACTATATGTATATCATACCTCAATACCTCTGACTTAAATTTTTTTTTTTCCTTTAAATTTTTATTTTGTCGATATACAATGAGGTTGATTATTATGGCCCATTACCAAAACCTCCCTCCTCCTCCCTTTCCCCCCTCCCACCCAACAATGTCCTTTCTGTTTGCTTGTTGTAACAACTTCAAAGGATTGTAGTTGTTATATCTTCTCCCCCCCCCAGTTATTTTGTGTGTGTGTGAGTGAATTTATTTATTTATTTTTAGCTCCCACCAATAAGTGAGAACATGTGGTATTTCTTTCTGTGCCTGACTTGTTTCACTTAATATAATTCTCTCAAGGTCCATCCATGTTGTTGCAAATGGCAGTATTTCATTCGTTTTTATAGCTGAGTAGTATTCCATTGTGTAGATATACCACATTTTCCGTAGCCACTCATCCGATGATGGACATTTGGGCTGATTCCAGCTCTTGGCTATTGTGAAGAGTGCTGCAATGAACATTGGGAAACAAGTAAACCTTCGACTTGATGATTTCCATTCCTTTGGATATATTCCCAGCAGTGGGATAGCTGCGTCGTATGGTAGATCTATCTTCAGCTGTTTAAGGAACCTCCAAACCATTTAATGCAATCCCCATTAAAATTCC